CAAAATAAAGCTCTGTCACAAAAAAAAATGATACAAATTTCATATGGGTACAGTGTTGCATGACCGCGCAATTGTCATTCAAAGTGCAACAGCGCTGAAAGCTGGAAATTGGCCTGGTCAGGAAGGGGGTATAAGTGCCCTGTAGCCTTGTGGTTAAGGATTGGTAAACTGCAATATAAAATGTTTAGGTTAATGTCACTTTAAGGCTGCAGAGCATGGGTGGCATTATTTTATTTAGATTTCCTTTTTATTATAAACTTTCACAGTAAGATTTCATCTTTTGAAAATAATGAGATCCTTGGATAAGCCTTCAACTTCCAAGCAAATCAAGTATTCAGTGCTTGCTGAGCAATTTCACTTAAAATGCATGAATATGAAAGGCAGGCTATATTTGTTTTATCTGGAGAGAGAGAGAAATTACAAATGTGAAGAAAAACTGTGGATTAGGGATTGTGTATATGTAAATTTCTATAGATTCCATTTCAACATATGCATTTTTTTTTAATGTCAACAGATTCTAAAAAGACAGTTTATGCCAACTTTTCCTGTTCTTGTACTATTCTGGTAAACAACAAAACCTCTTGTGTTTTCAATGTTACTTGAAATAACATGAAATGGTGACAGGTGCTGGAATGAATTGCTTTAGAGTGTCCTTGCCTATGTGCCTGACCTACCGTTAAAGATTTATTCTTAATATGCAAATATTTCTTCTCTCCAGTTCATTCAGCAGTGAATAGACTACTTTCACTTCCTTCTTTATTTCATACTTGGAAAACGACATGCATTTTTCCATATAACCAAAAAATTTAATTTAATTAAAAACACCCTACTATTTTTTAAAAACCCCTGTTGACACATTAGGTAGAGGATATAAATATAATAATAATTAGTACATACACACACCTCAAAAGAAATTAAAGGAACACTTTTTAATCAGAGTATAGCATCAAGTCAATGAAACTCCTGGGATATTGATCTTGTCAGTTAAGTAGCAGAGCGGGTTGTTAACAGCTTCCCGTCTGCCCTATAGCAGAAATACAGCTACACGTGATTTAGCATTTTCGGGTAGTGGGCGCACGCGAGACATGAGCCCTACCCACACTGCCATTCGCGGCCAATCACCAGGTCCCAGCCGGGTAATTACTCACCAGTGCCCGGCGATTTCCGAAGATCTCCGACGGGGAGGAGGACTGCTTTGTTTACTAACAGTCCCTCCTCCATGTCAGCTCGGGCACACTGCTCTGAATGGCCATCCAGAGCAGCGTGATTACAGTAAAGCACACTGACATGGCCTCCTGGTAAAACACTCCCTGCATGCAGTTAACCCTTTGATCGCCCCTCATGTTAACTCCTTCCTGCCGAGTGCCATTACTTTTTTTTTTTAGCACTGATCACTGTATTGGTGTCACTGTCACAAGTGTCAGAATGTCCTCTGCAGTCCCGCTAGTTGTCACTGATCGCCGCCATTACTAGTAAAAATAAAAAATAAATTCCAGTATATATGCACCGCCATTTGTAAACGCTATTACTTTCACGCAAACCAATTAGGTTACACGTGTTGGAATATTTTTTTAGCAAACATATGTAGCAGAATACATGTTGGTGTAAATGCTAAAATTTGGTTTAATTCCAAAACAGGAATGGTTTCACAGGTGGAGGACACTGACTTTTTCTCTACTCATCTTTTCTGTTTTTCACTAGTTTTGCATTTGGCTAGGGTCAGTGTCACTACTGGTAGCATGAGGAGATACCTGGACCCTACAGAGGTTGCACAGGCATTCCAACTCCTCCAGGATGGCAGATCAATAGATGCCATTGCCAGAAGATTTGCTGCATCTCCCAGCACAGTCTCAAGAGCATGGAGGAGATTCCAGGAGACAGGCAGTTACTCTAGGAGAGCTGGGCAGGGCTGCAGAAGGTCATTTGTGCAAGGAGGAACAGGATGAGCACTGCCAGAGCCCTACGAAATGACTTCCAGCAGACCACTTGTGTGAATGTCTGTGACCAAACAATCAGAAACAGACTTCATGAGGGTGGCCTGAGGGCCCGACATCCTCTAGTGGGCCCTGTGCTCACAGCCCAGGACCATAGAGCTCAGTTGGCATTTGCATTTGCCATTGAACACCAGAATTGGCAGGTCCCGCCACTGGCGCCCTGTGCTTTTCAGATAAGAGCAGGTTCACTGTGAGCACATGTGACTGATATGAAAGGGTCTTGTTGGGGGGGAGGGGGATGAGGCGCGTGGTGTTGTGGGGGGGGGGGGGGGATAAGACGCGCGGTGTGGGGGATGGCATGCAGCGTTGGGGGAGGGGGATGAGGCGCGCGGTATTGGGGGGGAGGGGGGGGGGGGGGGGGGATGAGGCGCGCGGTGTTGGGGGGGGGGGGAGGAGGCGCGCGGTGTTGGGGGGGGGGGGGGAGGAGGCGCGCGGTGTTGGGGGGGGGGGGGGGGGAGGAGGAGGAGGAGGCGCGCAGTGTTGGGGGGGGGGGGGGAGGAGGAGGCGCGCAGTGTTGGGGGGGGGGGGGGAGGAGGAGGCGCGCAGTGTTGGGGGGGGGGGGAGGGTTTTGGAGGTGCGTTGTTGTTGGGGAGGAGGGGGATGAGGCGCGCGGTGTTGGGGGGGGGGCATGCAGTGTTGGGGGGGGGGGATGAGGCGGGGTGTTGGGGGGGGGGGGGGAGGCGCGCGGGGGGGGGGGGGGGGGGGAGGCGCGCGGTGTGTGGGGGGGGGGGGGGGAGGGGGGGGGGGATGAGGCGCGCGGGTGTTGGGGGGGGGGGGGGGATGGGAGGCGCGCGGTGGGGGGGGGGAGTGAAGGGGGGGGGGGGGGGAGGGGGGATGGGGCGCGGTGTTGGGGGGGGGGGGGATGAGGCGCGCGGTGGGTTTGGGGGGGATGGGGGGGGGGGGGGGGGGGGGGGGAGGAGGCGCGGGTGGTGGGGGGGGGAGGGGGGGGGGGAGGAGGCGCGGGGGGGGGGGGGGGGGGGGGCGGGGGGGGGGGGGGGGGTGGGGGAGGGAGGGGGGGGGGGGGGGGGTGGGGGGGGGGGGGGGGGGGGGGGGGGGGTGGGGGGGGGGGCGGGGGTTGGCTGGGGGGGGGGGGGGGACGGCGGGTGTTGGGGCGCGGGGGGGGGGGGGGGGGGAGCGCGGTGTTTTGGGGGGGGGGGGAGGGGGGCGCGCGCGGTGTTGTTGGGGGGGGGGGGGGGACGGGGGGCGGTGTTGTTGGGGGGGGGGGGGGGGTTGTTGGGGGGGGGGGCGCGGTGTTGTTGGGGGGGGGGACGGCGGTGTTGTTGGGGGGGGGGGGGACGCGCGGTGTTGGGGGGGGGGAGCGCGGTGTTGTTGGGGGGGGGGGAGGGGGCGGGTTGTTGGTTGGGGGGGGGGGACGCGCGGTGTTGTTGGGGGGGGGGGGACGCGGGTGTTGGGGGGGGGGGGGGACGCGCGGTGTGTTGTTGGGGGGGGGGGGACGGCGGTGTTGTTGGGGGGGGGGGGGGGCGGTGTTGTTGGGGGGGGGGGGGGCGCGGTGGGTTGGGGGGGGGGGGGCGCGGTGTTGTTGGGGGGGGGGGGGACGCGGGTGGGTTGGGGGGGGGGGACGCGCGGGTGTTGGGGGGGGGGTGGGGGTTGGGGGGGGGGGGGCGGTGTTGTTGGGGGGGGGGGGCGCGGTTTGTTGGGGGGGGGGGGGACGCGCGGTGTTGGGGGGGGGGGACGCGCGGGGTGTTGGGGGGGGGGGGGGGGACGCGCGGTGTTGTTGGGGGGGGGGGGGGGGTGTTGTTGGGGGGGGGGGGACGCGGGTTTTGTTGGGGGGGGGGGGGGCGCGGGTTGTTGGGGGGGGGGGACGCGGGTGGTTGGGGGGGGGGGGGGGGTGTTGTTGTTGGGGGGGGGGACGCGGGGGACGCGGGTTGTTGGGGGGGGGGGGGGGGCGCGGTGTTGTTGGGGGGGGGGGGACGCGCGGGTGTTGTTGGGGGGGGGGGACGGGGTGGGTTGGGGGGGGGGGGAACGGCGCGGTGTTGTTGGGGGGGGGGACGCGCGGTGTTGTTGGGGGGGGGGGGGTTGGGCGGTGTGGGGGGGGGGGGGGGGGACGGCGGGGTTGTTGGGGGGGGGGGGGGACGCGCGGGGGGGGGGGGGGGGGGGGGGGGGGGGGGGGGCGGGGTTGGGGGGGGGGGGGGGAGGCGGGGGGTGGTTGGGGGGGGGGGGGGGACGCGCGGTGTTTTGGGGGGGGGGGGACGGAGCGGGTGTTGTTGGGGGGGGGGGGCGGGGGGTTGGGGGGGGGGGGGGGGGGGGGCGGGTGTTGTTGGGGGGGGGGGGGGGTGTTGGGGGGGGGGGACGTTTTTGGGGGGGGGGGACGCGGTGGTTGTTGTTGGGGGGGGGGACGCTTGTTTTGGGTGTAGGGGGTGGTATTTTTGGGGGGGGGGGTGTTGGGGTGGGGGGGGTGGGTGTTTGGGGGGGTTTTTTTTGTGGTTGGTTGGGGGTTTGTGTTTTTTGGGGGGTTGGTGGTTTTTGTTTTTTTGGTGGGGTGTTTTTTTTGTGGGGGGTTTTTTTTTTGTTTTGGGGGGTTTTTTTTTTTTTTTTTTTTTTTTTTTGTTTGTTTTTTTGGGGGGGGGGGGGGGGGTTTTTTTTTTTTGTTTTTTTTTTTTTTTTTGTTGGGGTTGTTTTTTTTTTTTGGGTGTTGTTGTTTTGGGTGTGTTTGGTTGTTTTTTTTTGGTTGTGTGTTTTTTTGTTTGTTTTGTTGGGGGGGGGGGTTTTTTTTTTTTTTTTTTTTTTTTTTTTTTTTTTTTTTTTTTTTTTTTTTGGTGTTTTTTGTTTTTTTTTTGGGTTTTTTTTTTTTTTTGGTTTTGTTTTGGGGGTTGTTGGGGGGGGGGGGTGTTGTTTTTTGGTTTTGTTTTTTTGGGGTGTGTGGGGTGTGGGGTTTTGTGGTTGTTTGGTTTGTTTTTTGGGTTTGCTCGGTGCTCCGCAGGTGAAGCCACTAATCGGTAAGTCCCCTATAGTCAGGTAAACAGCTGGTGCCCGGCTCTCCATTACCTGCCCCCTTATCACCGGCTCGGACAGGATCTCTATGCCGTACTTCATCTCCGTCAGCTCCTCCAGGTTCAGGAACCCCAGTGACGCCGCTGTGAGCCCACACAGCACCCACAGGAGCAGGACCACCTGAGACCAGAAACCCGGCCACCGCCATCTTCCCTCGCCTCGCACAACAACATGCACCTTCCTCCAAACTCCCAGAGAGAGCTCTTCTTTACACCTGCTTTATGCAGATTGGCTAATACACTGACAGCCGACACTCCTATTGGTCCGATAAGCTGTCTTTCACTCTGCACCTCTCTCTGCTCACTTCCTAATCTATCACCCCGCCCACAGAGCCTAAGTTCTGTACGGAGCTGTAACGCTGTTGGAGGAAGAGCTTGCCACTCACTCCACTCTGTCACTGCTGATTGGCTAAAGCGCAGCCGGCATGGGCTTGTTTTGGCTTTCTCACAGGGTGGCTGCGATTGGGTAAAACCAAGGATGACCTGACCCAATCACAGGTCTCTGGCAGGGCTACTATTAACCGTTTCTGTGGCTCTTGGTCCATTCAGACGAGGACTTTGGGAGAACCATAGAACAGATATGAATTGTGTGAAAGGACACCTGTGCTAAGTACTATGGATGTGGCTGCTGGTACCTGTCATAACAAAGTACAGCAGGAACTAATGCAAGGCTGTGAGGGAAAGTGTAACTAAGGGGAAAACTTTTTTTAGCTCTGGATAGAGTGGAGAAGGATTAGACCCCTGTCAGGTTTTTATAGGAAGTCTGTGTCCCCCCTTAGATCCCCCCTCTTTATTTGTCCTACTACCTGTACAATATAGTATCTGGGTTTGGAAAGGCATGTAGTACACACAACGTACAACGTGGATTTACATCCTTTGTGGCTATTGAGGGATACTTTTTAGGCCTCATACACGCTAAACACACCTGCTGCTTAAACGTGTTATTTCTGCCACAACACTGCTGCTCCTGGACGTGCTGGCAGTGGGGTTTTTTTGCATATAAACTCTAAATGCCTATGTGTGGTTGGACACATACACTATATTGCCAAAAGTATTGGGACGCCTGCCTTTACATGTACATGAACTTTAATGGCATCCCAGACTTAGTCCATAGAGTTGAATATTGAGTTGGCCCACCCTTTGCAGCTATAACAGCTTCAACTCTTCTGGGAAGGCTGTCCACAAGGTTTAGGAGTGTGTCTATGGGAATGTTTGACCATTCTTCCAGAAGCACATTTGTGAGGTCAGGCACTGATGTCAGATGAGAAGGCCTGGCTCGCAGTCTCCGCTCTAATTCTTCTCTATCGGGTGTTCTATCGGGTTGAGGTAAGGACTCTGTGCAGGCCTGTCAAGTTTCTCCACCCCAAGCCTGCTCATCCATGTCTTTATGGACAGTGCTTTGTGCAATGGTGCGCAGTCATGTTTGAACAGGAAAGGGTCATCCCCAAACTGTTCCCACAAAGTTGGGAGCATGAAATTGTCCAAAATGTCTTGATATGCTGACGCCTTAAGAGTTCCCTTCACTGGGAGTAAGGGGCCAAGCCCAACCCCTGAAAAACAACCCCACACCTTAATCCCCTTTCCAGCAAACTTTACACTTGGCACAATGTAGTGAGGCAAGTACTGTTCTCCTGGCAACGACAAATCCAGACATGTACATCAGATTGCCAGACAGAGAAACGTGATTCATCACTCCAGAGAACACGCCTCCACTGCTCTAGAGTCCAGTGGCAGCATGCTTTACACCACTGCATCCAACGCTTTGTATTGCACTTGGTGATGTAAGTGTCAGGGCTCCAGGGTATGACCAGAGGTATGTGAACTGACGCAGGGAAACGCAGGCTTCAGATATGTTATAAACAATATAATTTATTAACACTAACAATACATAAACGCAGTGCAATACTAAAACATAACACAGTGCAAACGAACCAAACCAAACCACCCACAGATAACAATACATACAATGCAAGCGTCGTCAGGCAGGCCGGGTCAATAACAATCGGGCAGGTAGGAACAGGAGGAGCAGGCAGAGAGAAGTCAGGTCACGAGCCGGGTACAGCAACTAACGGGCAGGTAGGTACAGGGGGTCAGGCAGAGAATGGTCGGGGTCACAAGCCAGGGATCAAACAGGAGAAGTCAGCAGAGGTCCGGATCAGGCAGGGTCGGCAACGAATCAGTCAGACAGGAACAGGGATGCAGGTAACAAGATACAGGGGCCCAGGAAAAAACACACACCAAGGCCCAGACTGCAGGTCTGGCCATCCCTTAAATACACCTGCATAATCAGCTTCAGGTGTTTGGTTGGCTGCAGGGTTGAGTCTCTGATTGCTGAGAGCACCCGCTGGCCAGCCCTGGTACTGCAGCCCACAAAGCAGGTGAGTCCCACCATTACTGGCAAGTCCATTCCTGACAGTAAGGCTTGGATGCAGCTGCTCGGCCATTGAAACCCCATTCTATGAACCTCTCTATGTACTGTTGTGCTAAACTGAAGGCCACATGAAGTTTGGAGGTCTTTAGCTATTGACTCTGAAGACAGTTGGCAACTTCTGTGCACTGTGCACTTCAGCATGCACTGACCCGCTCTGTCATTTTACATGGCCTACCCCTTCATTGTTGAGTTGCTGTTGTTCCCAGTTTCTTCCACTTTGTTATATCACTAACAGTTGACCGTGGAATATTTAGTAGCAAGGGAATTTCATGGATGGACTTATTGCACAAGTGGCAACCTATCACAGTACCACGCTTGAATTCACTGAGCTCCTGAGAGCGAGCCATTCTTTCACAAATGTTTTTAGAAGCAGTCTGCATGCCTAGGTGCTTGATTTTATAGAGAAGCCATAAACTAGACACCACATTCAACACCCATTTTCCCCTATGATTTAATATCTTGGAATATGAGAGACTTACATAAAAAAACCAGGAATATATTCAGATTAGTCACTTTGATACAAGTTTCCTGATATTTTACACCCCCTAACTTGAACCATTCAAGTGTATATGACATGTTTCATCTCTAACCATTCCGCAGATGCTGTTGAGTATTAAGCTACTAGTGGCCAGGCTGCCAAATGCCCCGGGAATAAGTTATGAATCATAATAGAAGCTATGAGAGTTTCTGGTCATAACTTAGGGCTCCACCTACACCTCCCTCCCCAAAGGAGAGGATTGATTTACTGCTCCAGGGAGACACCCTGTGGAGATACTAGAAAACCTAAGCTGAATTAAAGAGAAGATTCTCCTGTTTTAACATCGAAACTGACAGTGGGAGACCAGAAATCCTTTTGGGCACATAAAACTTGAAGCTGCTTAAACCAAGGCTGACTGGCAAGTACTTTAACCCTTTAAACTCCTTTCTGTTATCTCTTTACTGTGCTATTGTTCTCTGTATATTTATATATATATTGGCTACATCTTTTTTCTGTAAATATTTTTATTGCACCCTTTTGACATTTTAGCAATAAATCTTACTTTCTGAAAGTGTTGAACTGTTTCTAAAGCCTTTAATGCAAACTACGAATTCCTCCCTCTAAAGAGCGCTACTGTGTATGTGTTTAACCCTCTGTATAACCTGCCTGTGGTGACAGTGGTATACAGACGATTATCCAACCATCATAGTGTTATTGCTGATATTGCCGAGTATCCTCTTTCTCTGTACAAAAAGGAGGTGGTGGCAGTTTGAAGGGTTAATTGCGTAATTAACCTGACCCAGTAACAATCGCGCTCAGGCTGCAGATACACAGATTGTGGTCCATTAGCTGGAAAATCTTTGTGCAGAATGCAGCTGGCGTGGCATTGTTACGCGCATGACAACGTGGTTTTAGATTGGCTAGTCCTTTGGTCACGAGTTTGGTGAGAAGGGCTGGGGTCTGAAGCCGCGATCGTCACACCACCTACTTTAGAGGCCAAAATTAGACCTGGACACCAATAACTTTAGATGTGCCTGTATTTTATCTCTACATGTGAGTGCAATCTATGTTGCCTTTTTAATAAATGTTTACTGTTTACGCTCAGTGGTGCCTCTCTCCACTTTTTCTTTACATCCAAGTTGCACCCATTAAAGTCGCACCGATACAAAACCGCATCAAAGTCGCACCCATAGAAGTCCCATCAAAGTCGTGTCCAAGTTGCATCAAAGTCAGTACTTTCCTGTTGGCAAAAAGGCAAACCGTATCAAAAGCGCATAAAAAAAACACAACACTTGAGTTGTTGGTGTGGGTCCATTGAAGTCTATTACACAAAAAACACGATCTGTTGTGGGAAAATAAGTCCCTGATCCTTTTCAAAAAACACACTGGCTCAAAACGCACAGATGTGAACTGGAGCCACTAGAAATCATGTTAAATGGAGTGTAATGCGTTTCAGCAAATTGAAAAATGCACTAAAATCCACATACGTGTGAACCCAGGGTAAAATACTCCAGTGCCTGCTCGCAGGGTCCCTGTGTGCCAGGGTGACTAAATTCTGCCCATGCGCCTGAGCTATGTCACCCTGCATCGGTCAGTGAAGATGCCTGAAGACCAGCAATCAGGGAGAAGATGTCAGCGCCGGCGAGGGATACCTCGAGGACTTCAGGCATTAGAAAGGAGGTAAGTATAGTGACTTTTGCTCTACTTTAAATGGAAGTTGTGTCTGGAGTTCAGCTTAAGCTGGTTGCTAGGAGACTATTTTGTTTTAATTCACGTTACAGCATCAGCATTTTGCTTGTATGCCTGTGTTTTCTAGACCTACTGGATGTTGTACCTGTGGCTACCCTGTACCCATCTTGGCCCTTGGCAACTGGTATATTACCCACTGCCCTGCAATCCTACCTTAACTGCTCTCTGACTACTCTTCATTTATCTTTGTACATATGTAACACCCTCCTAGTTACACTAGGGGGAGTTAGAATCCCTAATGGTTAGTCAGGAGCTGCTATCAGCTCAGGTGTAATAATCAGAGGGGTGAAATTTGGGTCAGGGCTGAGAGACTCTGCAGGCCAGCCTCTATGGAATTTCCCCCTGCTCTGAGGTTCTCAGAGAGGGCCTTGAAGGCAGTGGGTGGATCTGAAGAGTAGCTGGCTGCACCTCTTCAGGGACTTCAGCCAATCCCCAACAGGAGGTTGGAAGGGCCTGGACTCCTTAAAAAGGTGTTGGAGCCTGCTCAGTCAGGGAGGAGAACAAGTGGGAGAGTGGCAGAGAGAAGAGACCAGTCGACACACATCCACCACCTCCTGCGCTCAAGGACTCAGATCAGAGGAGGGCCGATCGAGTAAATTGATATTGTTCATCCAACATTGATCAAAGGTTATGCAGCTCTAACACGAAGCTGGGGAAGCTCGATAATGACTGTAGTAGAGAACAAAAGAAAAGAGAGCACAAACCTTGTGCATTACCTCAGTAAACAATTCATGTATTTATTGATAAGTTATACTCACAAGAGTAGCAGTAAAAAAGGCATATAACATTCAAAAACCACACAGGGTTAGACGACACATGCAAGTTCCATCCGGAAGGGAGATAAAATCTTGGTCAAGCTGATGCATTTCAAAGGGGGATCCCTTCTTCCTCAGAGCTAGTCACAAAGAGATTGGTTACCCCTAAGTATAATGTTACTCTATTGCCCGGCACACCCCTCGTGAGTGAGACAGCCTCGTAGGGGGAGGGGGAACGGGGTTTTTTTTTGTTTGTTTTTTGAGGGGCTAAACTTGTCACAAAAATTCATGAAAATTCCTAACATACAAAGTGTACAAAGCAAATGTATAAATATAAAATGATGATATGATTACAAATGGAAAAGGATAAAAATACAATAATGATGATGATATATTAGCATAAACAGATATAATGATGAAAATGAAGGCTTGATTAATTAAACATTAAAATACTAAGTGGGAAATAAAATCAAAATAAGGACGGGTACCTCAGTTTATATTAAACATGAAATTATAGATAGTTATAAAAAGCAAAAAGCAAAAATTGAGAACAAAATGAACAAGAGATAGAAAATAAATAAATAAATAATAAATAAATACAATTCTAATAGGAATTTTACCTTAAAGGTCTGCAAAAGATGTCCTAAAATGGTTTGCAGGAATGATCAATTTTCAGTATTCCAATGATAAATTGGCAGCCTCATTGTTGTGTGTTTTCTGTGTTCTTAATTCATAGGAGCATTTTGCCACTATGTGTCAGTGTTTCAGTATTTCAATCAGTTTTTCAGTACTGGCAGTGAAAGAGGGAGAATATATACTGTAGGGAGCCTGCAGGTGACAGTGGAATGCATCAAGTAATCAAGTCTTCTTTTTAACTACTTGAACTCCTGAGAATTTACCCCCTTAATGACCAGACCTCTTTTTTGCTACTCGGTGCTGCACTAATTCAACTGATAACTGCGCGGTCATGCAATGCTGTAACCAAACAAAATTTATGTCCTTTTTTTCACACAAATAGAGCTTTCTTTTGGTGGTATTTGATCCCGTGTGCTTTTTATTTTCCACACTATAAACAAAAAAAACTGAAAATTTTGAAGAAAAAATATTTTTTCATTTCAGCTATAAAAAATATATAGTAAACTCAAAGTTCGTTATAAATTTAGGCCAAAATGTATTCTGCTACATGTTTTGGTAAAAAAAAATCCCAATAAGTGTATATTGATTGCTTTGTGTGAAAGTTATAGCGTCTACAAACTATGGTATAGATACTGCAATTTACGCCATTTTTTTGCTATACAGCGCTGCGCTAGTTTAACGGACAATTGCGCGGTCATGCAATACGGTACATAAATTAAATTTATGTACTTTTTTTCACACAAATAGAGCTTTATTTGGGTGGTATTTGATCACCTGTGCACTTTTTATTTTTGGCGCTATAAACAAAAAATGTTTGAAGAAAAATGTTTTTTAAAAAAAAAACAATATTTTCTCATTTCGGTCATAAAAAAAAATCAGAAAAAACTAAAATGTCATCATAAATTTAGGCCAAAATGTATTCTGCTACATGTTAAAAAAACCCAGTAAGTGTATATTTATTGCTTTGTGTGAAAGTTATAGCGTCTACAAACTATGGTATAGATAATGGAATTTACACAGCTTTTACTTTCTGACTGCCCATCACATTTCTTGAGGTGCTAAAATACCAGGATAGTGCACACACCCCCAAAATGACCCCTTTTTGGAAAGTAGACAACCTAAGCTATCTGCTGAGAAGCATATTGAGTCCATGGAAGATTTATTTTTTTTCCACAAGTTTCTGGAAAATGACAAAAACATTTTTATTTTTTTTTTACACAAAGTTGTTATTTAAATGATTTATTTCTCGCACAAGCCATGGGTATATGTGGAATTACACCCCAAAATACATTCTGCTACTTCTACCGAGTATGGGGATACCACATGAGTGAGACTTTTTGGGAGCCTAGCCTCATACAGGAGCCTGAAATCCAATGACCACTTTGAAAGCCTGAAGGTGCGTAACTTCCTCATTTCACTTCCTCAATACCTATCACAGTTTCGAAGGCCCTGACATGCCAGGACAGCACCAAACCCCCCCAAATGACCCCTTTCTGGAAAGTAGACACCCCGAGGAATATAAAAAGAGGCATGGTGAGTATTTTTCAGATCTCATTTTTTCTCACAAGGTTTTGAAATATAACAAAAAATAGAAAAAATATGTTTTTGTTTTTTTTCTTCATTTTCCAAACACTTGTTGCAACAAATGAGATCTGTAAAATACTTACCATGCTTCTTAGAAATAGTGAAGTGGCGAGCAAGTGACCAGATATTATTATTGCACCACATCCCTTAAAATTGCAAATATTCAATAGAGAAGATG